CAGCGAGGTTCTACCCTCAACATTTAATAATAACATTTTTAAATTTTTTATTAAAGACCCGTCGGAGTAACATCAAAGCAAGTTAAAATAAACTGACATGCGAATTGTTGACGAGGTAGGCAGAAACTATACAAGGTGTAATTTATAGTTCCTGAATTAGTAGTCCGTTCAGAAAAACGACTAGCGAGAGGGGAAAAAACTCCCCTTTATAAGTTAAAAAAGATTGGATTAATTTTACAAGAGAAAAAACCCCTCGCTAAAAAATAATAACAGAAAAATGCGGGCAGGACTGGCCTGTATGTGGCGGTATATAACGGATTATACTCCGACATCCTCAGGGCAGAAATAAATGTCAGCCTATGCGAATCGGACAGGACTGGTATGCATGTGGTATTGTATACGCGATTCAGAACTGACATCGTCAGGGCAGGAGTGGAACGCCGGATAAGACTATTCGCGTCAAAAAGGCCAGACGAGAGGAACCCAGACGCGATCGGCCACAGTACGCTTCGAGCCCAGCCGAGCAGTGTGGAAGGACTGTACGACCAAACTACTACTAAACGGCGAACACTGAGTGTTCCGCCGTGAGCGTCGGCAGACCGCAGGAGGTCGAAATGCGGGAGATGACATGAAAAACCGCCAAAATTGTCGCTATGGGGGAGGTGTGATAGCAGTGGATTTAGAAACCAATTTAAAACAGAGTTTCTAATGATACAATTGAGGATTACCACTTGATCTACCACTAAATCCCAGGAGGACCCTTCTCGAAGTCAAGAATCTGAGTGTTCGGGAATGAGACCGTTAACAGTGCCTTTATGCTTTCGGGTGTAAGATGGTTGCGTAATTTCGACTTCAATATCAGTAAACTAGGCGATAATCTAATTTCAGGCGGAAGATTATTCCAAAGGAAGGCATATTTGGAAGCAAAGAAGAGGGAGCGCTTAGATGTAGTAAAAAGAGGCGGCGGTGGAATCCCCATGCAGGAGTTGCGCGTGGCATAAGACCGATCTCTCGGAGTGAGAGTGTCAATGTGCGGAAGACTGGAGCTAGAGTTGATGAGAAGAAGGAAGCAAAGGCCAGCTTCGAGTCTTCTAACCCACAAAAACTTTATGTTCGCCAGCTGACATCTCTGAGTATAAGAATTACTGGCGACCTCCGTGCTTGTAGACCTCAGCAGGGATTGCGTCCGATCCGGGTGCTTTCCCGCTGGAGAGCTGCCGCACGGCCCTGATGGTTTCCTGGAGAGATGGCGGGAGGTCGAGGTCCACGTTGGTCTCCACTTGCGGCAAACGCTCGATGGCGGCGTCGGAGATGATGGAGGGGCGATTGAGGACGGCTCGGAAATGCTCGGTTCATCTCTGTAGGATTTGCGTCTTCTCAGTCAGGAGAGTGCTACCGTCGGCGCTGAGGAGAGGAGCAGTGCCCTTCGTCGGCGGACCGTAGACCGCTTTGATCGCAGAAAAGAATTTCTTCCATTCGTTGCGGTCCGCGTAGCCTTGGATCTCCTCAGCTTTGCGAGCAGTCCAGGCGTCCTGCATGTCGCGCAGTCGTTGCTACAGTTGGCGGCGACTGCGGTAGAAGGCAGCTTTGGTGGCATCAGTGGGGTGATCTATGTAGGCTTTGTGTAGGCGGTTCTTCTCAGCAAGCAGATTTCTGATGGCGGCGTCGTTGTCGTCGAACCATTCCTGGTGTTGGCGGGGAGCGCGACCGAGGACGGCGAGCGCCGTCGATTGGACCGTGTCTCGCAGTTGACACCAGCGGTTCTCCACGGAGGCGTTTTCGGCAGCGGCGGCATCGGCGATGGGGAGGTTGTCTAGCCGTTGAGCTAGCTCATTGCTGAAATGGAGATGGTGAGCGGGCAAAGACAACAAGGCAACATTCAGCTTACCTGGGGGTTGCTTACCTTGTGGTCTCCTGCGAGGCTGTAGGCGAATACGCATCTTCGAGATGACGAGGCGATGGTCTGTCCACCCGTCAGAGCCCGCGATCGCCTTTGTCGCCAGTAAGTCCCCCTGATCTCGCGTCCGGACGAGGACATAGTCCAGCAGGTGCCACTGACGCGACCGAGGATGCCTCCAGGTGGCCTTCTCTCGCTCCGGCAGACAGAAGAACGTGTTCGTCAGGATGAGGCGGTGTTCTGCGCAGGTGCGGAGAAGCAGCAGACCATTGTCGTTTGAGCCGCGGAGACCGTGGGGACCCAGCACTCCTCTCCAGGCAGTATGGTCTGTGCCGACGCGGGCGTTGAAGTCACCAAGGTCAATCAACTTGTCCGCCTTCGACACAGTCGTCCCACGATGTCATTCCGAATGGCGAAGACGACACCCCTACACTCCATTAATTACATATAAGTACGTTATAAACAACTGTACACGGAGCCCAGCTACGTGGAGCCACAGGTGAGAGTTGAGTGCCAGCAAGTGAACGCTAGGCGCAGTCTCAACTGCAAGCAAGTGAGCGACCACCACGACCATCACATGAACCCACCGCTGACACCCCTACCTCCTTTGACTTCCAACCTAGACCTGGTTTCCCACCCGTTTATTATTATAGCTGCCTACCATCCCCCACTAGCCTATGCTTTCACTCTATGCTCCCTCCTCCTCCTCATCCTCCTCCTCCTCCTCCTCCTCCTCCTCTTCCTACACAATTTAACTACCCTAGCATTCCAATGTTCGAAAACTATATCCCCACATCCTGTAGGTCTCATGCTCAACCTTCTCTTGCTCACTTCCCGTACGTCAATAACTCTAGACTAACTGGTACCTATTCTCCAAGTATCATTAATTCACAGCTTACATATCCGCCTCCAAATTTTTTAAAATACCGTCGACAATAGCATTGCTGTTCGAAACACATTAGATATTATATTATTGAATGCCAGTCTGTTATAAACAAGATGGCCCAAATCAGAGCCATTGCTCTCGAAATGACGCCTGATATTATATGTGTAACAGAATCTTGGACCCATTCTCTAATTCCTGACTCTGCCCTTCTCATAGATGACTTCGATTTTTACCGTCAAGACCGCACGACTTGGCATGGGGGCGGTTGTTTTCTTTATCTTAAAGCCTACTTAAGCACAATCCCTATTACTTGGTTGTTTCCTCATTCACGGGAAATTTCTGTTTTGCATGTGTTATTCTCTCGCTGCAAAGAAAGGTAATTATTGGCTGTATCTACAATCCCCCAAATTTTTTAGCCAGTGATGATTCACAACTCTGTGAAATCTTTAAATTAATTTCGGAAGCTGCTTTCGATGTTAAAATAATCACTGGGGATTTTAACCTTCCTGAAATAAACTGGGTTTAGAATAGAATAGGTTTATTGTAGCGTCCCTTGGGCACTGTCAGTTCCCTTTGAACTCAGGAAAAAAACTTAAAAGAATCTCGTCAATTTCAACTGCACTTGGACTTCATTTGTTTTGGGTGTCTGGTTAGCCAAAAGAGCGCGAATTGAGAGTTTGTTTTAAGTTAAAAAACCTCTGTTCGAAGGGAAAATAATATCAAATTTTTCAAAAAATAACGATATGTACAATATAAAAATTGTATTTTGCAGTTTGGTAGTTTTCGGGGGCATGTATAATATGTCCTTCATGGAAATTGAAGAACTTTGATATCGGCCTGACCTCGAAATTATTTTCCTGTTGGGTAAATTTCGGTGTGCTCTATTTGCTGGTTGTCAGTCTATCTGGCCAGCTGTAAGGGGGCGGTCGCACAGTTCCTACGTGTTTTTCAGGAGGCTTACCATCGTTGTCTGGACTAAGAGCTGGAAAAGATTAATATATATCAGGAGTAAGAAGCATTCAATGGTAAGTCACAATCAAAACTGTCAAAATACTATTGAATCATGTATCATATTGTTCTTGTTAATGTGAAATTATAGGAGTAGTGGTCGACTGTTTACTATGACCTAATATAGTTCTATATATGTTTAATATGGCTTTAATATAGACATACGCACGACTAATATGCAGGGTTTTATCGAAGGGTATATTTTTATTAGCTTTATAAGGGATATTTAGTGTCAGGTGACATAGCTGATGAAAACGAGGAAGGGAGGAAAATAAAAGAATATCATTATCTGTTCTATGTTTATCAATGATGCTATCTTTTATAAATTTGATTATTTTTAGTGCTATGTTCCGGTATTTTTCAATCGGCTGGCATCATCAGAGCCCTTTTGGACCAAATTCAATATCAAAGAATTGACTTGAAAAATGTCCTATTTTATTCAAAAATAAATGTGTATTGTTATTTGAAAGGAATTTCTTAGTTTTTATTTTAAATTCGACTAGGGTTCGATTTTTCCGGATAGTACTTGGAAGAGAATTCCAGATAGTCGCATATCTTATGGTGTAGAAATTTGACCGTTGGGATTTTGTGAATTTGGGAATCCTTATAATATCCTCGCTATTTCTGGTGTTCCTAGGGGCGTTTTGGTTGGTAAGTAAATTCATTTTGAGAATATCTTGATCGTGGGTGACCTTGAATAGGAAGTTTAGACAATTTTGAAGTCTTCTGATCCAGAGTGGTCGAAGACCGTATTTATGATATAGTTCTAAGTATGAACCCTGGATGCCATCACTTCTAGACAAAGATCTAGTAAACCGTCTCTGAATGCCTTCTAGTTTCTTTCGGCCGTCTGAGGACATTATGCCGAAGAAAATTGAACAGTAATCTAGGAGTGGTAAAACATACATTTTGAAAAGTTGTATTCTTAGTGCATTTAAGGTGAAATTTTTACACATGAATCCACACAGGCGAGTGGCTTTCGGTGATATTTGTTTGACGTGGGGAGATAAATCAAGGGTATTTGTATAGCTGAGACCTAAGTCTTTTACCGATTGGGCCTCTGCTATTTCATTATCCTCCAAAAATTATGGGGGAAGTCTTTGTGAGCCAAATATCAGGAGATGGCATTTTTTGGGTGAAAAGGGCATCTGCCACTGATTACTCCATTCGCTGAGTTTTCTGAGATCAGTTTCAATTGTTCTATGAATATTGGCTACTGTATTCCCGTTATATGCATATGCAATTTTAAGGTCGTCCGCATATAAAAACGTCTTAGCTGAGACAGATATGGACGATAAGTCGTGAATATATATAAGAAATAGAAGGGAGCCTAGGATAGTGCCTTGAAGTACTCCACTGGTAATAGGGGATGGTTCTGAGACGATGTTTCGAATTTGCACCACCTGGTATCGGTTTTGAAGATAAGATTTAAGAAAATCGAGAAGGGGTGGCCTAATTCCATGACTTTTTAGCTTTATCAGTAGTCTTTTATGGGGGACTTTGTCAAAGGACTTTCTTAGATCGAAGTATATTGAAGCTACTGTGTTTCCATCATCCCTATTGCTGGAAACGAATTCCAAAAAAGTAAGGTGGCAGGACTGACATGACTTTTTGGGTAAAAATGCATGTTGAGAGGAGGGAATGAGGTTGGCGTTCATGAGATGGTCTAGCAATTGGTTATATACTATTTTCTCGAGGATTTTAGCTATAGCCGGTGTTCGGTGAACACCACGATAGTTTTGGGTATGAGATCGGATGCCGCTTTTAAATATGGGCGCAATGGTCGAGTATTTCCACATGTCCGGAAAAATTGCATTTGACTGGAGTAGGGTGAATAACTTAGATAGGAGTATTGGAGCATATGTCATATGCTTCAGAATACATGGTGGGATTTTGTCAGTTCCATAGGATTTGGTGTTTGATAGTAGTTTGATGGCTATTTTAACAGTTTCTTCACTAAAATGGATCTCACTAAGGATGCGTTCAGTCATCTCGGTCGGTTGGGGGATGGCGCCCTCTTCGACTGTGTAGTTAGCTTCCAAAACCTGTCCACCTAGATTCCAGTCCTTCCAGGATATTGTCAATTTCTCTAACTGGTCCCAATTGGTGCACTCTCCAACTAGAGATAATCACATTTTAGATCTAATCTTAACCAATGACATTGCCCCTATTTTTGTTGCTTTAAAAAGGACCTCTTTGACAGTATCCACGTATTAATTCATTGTTGCTTACCACCTGCCTTTTCAAAAAAGACTAGCACCGTTCAGACCTACCTAAACCACGATTGCGTAGATAACGAATTCGATTATTAAACAAGCGTCCGACATTCCCATATTGCTCAGTCATTTATTCTCGGTTTATATTTCAAAAGGATTCTTTCCTGAAACAGGGAAAACGTCAATTATCATTCCCGTCTTCAAGTCAGGATCTCGGTCCGATGTTAATAACTATCGGGGCGTGCAAAAAACGCCGTCTCTAGCAAAACTTCTCGAAAGGATTATTTTCAAGGAAATTCTTGACTTCTGTCTAGCTAATCGGCTCCATAGCTCTAGTCAGTATGGATTTTTACCTGAACGATCCTGCCAAACTTGCCACTTGGCATTTCTTAATTTAATCACTTCTCTTCGTAATGAGCGACAGTCAGTGGTAGTTATCTACTTTGATCTTAGCAAAGCCTTTGACAAGGTGCCCTATAGACGTCTTTTAGTAAAATTGGAAGCCCTCGGCATCCGGCCGCCTCTACTCGATTTCATCAGGTCCTATCTGTCCAACCGATATCAGAAAGTCATGGTCGGTAATAGCTACTCGACACTTCACTCGATCACGAGTGGCATATTCAAGGTACGGTTCTGGGTCCGCTACTCTTTCTTCTGTACATCAATGATATTTCCAATAAACTCGGAGATTCGCCACTTTTATTTATATCGATAAACTCAAGTTTTACTTATATTTTAAGGACACAGCAAATGTTTGTGTTGAAAAAGTTAATGCTGATTTACTAGGCTTAAGCAGATGGGTTTCGACATGGCAGATGGAGTTTACAGCATCCAAGTGTAGTTTCACGTCTTTTGGTCCTACCAAACTTCCTGGTCCCATAATTTTTCAGAATAACCCACTCTCAGAATGCCTCAACATAAAGGACCTAGGTCTAAGTTATACAAATAAACTTGCTTTATCACCTCATGCAGATGGAATCTCTGCCACAGCCGCGCAGATATGTGGATTCATATCGCATAATTTTTTCCTTCCGGAAATGAAGCTAAGACTTTATCAAATGTTTGTTCTTCCAGTCCTCGAATACTGCTGTCCCTTCTTCAGTTTAATGAACGCCTGCGAACGTAATAAAATCGAAAATGTTCAGAGGGTTTTCACCCGGAAACTATTCTCTCAAGTCGCACCCGGTATTTCCTATACTCAGAGATGTCAGCTGGCGAACATAAAGTTTTTGTGGGTTAGAAGACTCGAAGCTGGCCTTTGCTTCCTTCTTCGCATCAACTCTAGCTCCAGTCTTCCGCACATTGACACTCTCACTCCGAGAGATCGGTCTTATGCCACGCGCAACTCCTGCATGGGGATTCCACCGCCGCCTCTTTTTACTACATCTAAGCGCTCCCTCTTCTTTGCTTCCAAATATGCCTTCCTTTGGAATAATCTTCCGCCTGAAATTAGATTATCGCCTAGGTTACTGATATTGAAGTCGAAACTACGCAACCATCTTACACCCGAAAGCATAAAGGCACTGTTAACGGTCTCATTCCCGAACACTCAGATTCTTGACTTCGAGAAGGGTCCTCCTGGGATTTAGTGGTAGATCAAGTGGTAATCCTCAATTGTATCATTAGAAACTCTGTTTTAAATTGGTTTCTAAATCCACTGCTATCACACCTCCCCCATAGCGACAATTTTGGCGGTTTTTCATGTCATCTCCCGCATTTCGACCTCCTGCGGTCTGCCGACGCTCACGGCGGAACACTCAGTGTTCGCCGTTTAGTAGTAGTTTGGTCGTACAGTCCTTCCACACTGCTCGGCTGAGCTCGAAGCGTGCTGTGGCCGATCGCATCTGGGTTCCTCTCGTCTGGCCTCTTTGACGCGGCGTACCAATCAGGCCCAGACGATCTCAATTGTGAATCCCGTATACAATGCCATTTGCAAGCCAGTCCTGTCTGACCCACATTCGTACCCATCAAGGCGGACATTTATTGATACCCTGATGATGACCGACAACATTCCGTTATATACCGCCAACTACAGGCCAGTCCTGCTCGCTTTTTTCTGTTATTATTTTTAAAGAGGGGTTTTTTCTCCTGTAAAATCAATCCAATCATTTTTAACTTTTTCTTAGGAGTTTTTTTCACTCCTCAATCATCATGTTTCTCAATGGACTTCTAATTTAGAAACTAGGAATTGCATTTTGTAAAGATTCGGCCTACCTCGTCTAAAACTCGCATGAAAATTTATTTTAACTTGCTTTGATGGGACCCCGACGGGTCTTTAATAAAAATTATCTATCTATCTATCTAATAAATAACTATATTAGCTCTTTGGATTGGTGTGGCTTTCTCTCCTATAGCTATGCAACCATTCATTGTGACGTCATGTCCAATGTTTCCAAGGACATCCTAGAGTTTGTGCCGCGTAGATATCTCAAGCCTAATTCTTCAGATTCCCTTGTTCCTCATTTTCTTCACAACGAGCCTCCTCTAAGCGTGGTCACGAACTTCCACCCATGCTAATTGATAAAAAAGTCTTCCTCATCGATGACACTGACAAGGCGGAGTTGTTTAGTGCTTTCTTTGCAAAACATATTATTACTTAGTCCCAACCGATCCCTTTCTTTCGATCACTTTCAGATAGGACACTGAGTACAATCGATGTCTCCTCAGATCTCATTAAGAAACACATAAGTCGTTTGAAATACTCACACTGCTCAGGAACGGACGGGATTCCGAATTCGAT